ACTATTATTTCGAATACAGTTTAGAATATACACAACTATAAATTAAGGCCGCATTTAGGTTCGCTTTAACATTTAGCAATTTTAGATTCATTTACGAAATGACCGTGAGTGGGGCAAATTTCACCGAGAACAGAGGGAACATGCAGCTTATTGTGCTTTAAGTATATCTGCGAAACAGGTACAGGTAAAACACATGGATAAAACAAAATGACAATCAGTGAGCGATTAGTAACCCAGTGTGAGTGATGTCATTTATCAATAAAGTCATCCAAGGAGGGATGGAAATGGACACTAGACAGAGATAAAAAACAAATCAATGAGCTTATGTATGTCATCATGTCATATTTTTGTACCTACTTTGAACAATATCAGTCAAGGTACATCCAAGAAAAGATTAAGGACAAATTAAAACAACATGGCCACCAGTCAGCCATTTTGAAAACTACTGTATCATCACCAAGAAAACTGACAGGCATCAGTAACCTACCATGAGTGATGTCAATAATAAGTTGGTGAGAAACAGATCCATTGACCACAAAGTAAAAAACAAACGCTTATATTGACTCAATTATGTGTTGCCTAAATTGTTCTAGAAATGTCCAAAAAATGATGCCAAATGGACAAATGTAGAAAATGTAAATATTAGTTCCTATACTGATGACTACATATACTAGGAAGCTGCTATGACGATTACTTATACTAAAAAGTTGCTATAAGGATTTCTAGACTAGAAAGTTGCTGATATTGACATGTACTACAAAGTTTCTATGACGATTACTTGTACTTGACAGTTGCTGTGAGATTACTTGTATATCTCACCTAATATCTTTCAACTGCTCTTCCACTTGATCAGCATACATCCCACGTATTCTTTTCTCAGCGACTAGTGGCCTTGTCAATCTCTCAACTTCTAACTCCATCTCCTCAATATCAGAGTCTTTTTTCTTTTCTTCATTACCATCTGACACATATTCCTCCTCTTCTGCCTCCTCCACCACATCATAATCATCTTGCATGTTTCCATGATTATCATCATTAAATACATCTAAATCTTGATAATTAATCAACGATCTTTTCCGTTTTCCAGGAATAACACTACCTGATTTTATCTTTCTTTGCCTGTTTAAATAGTATATAATAAAGTGAAAAGGCTTAAAATTTGCTAATTAATATGCAAATCAGGCCATTAATATGCACAAATTTCAAATAAAAACTAATCATTATGTTCATTATCCTAGAGCATATATATACCATGTTTCATAGAAATCTGTTGAATGGTACCATCGAGTGAGCAACAATTGAAAATGCTTAAAAAAGTCTAATTAATATGCAAAATAAGTATATAATATGCAAAACAGGTAATTAATATGCAAAATAGGTAAATAATATGCAAAATGGCTAATTAATATGCAAAATAGGTAAATAATATGCATGATTTTGAACCAAAAACCAATCAGGCGTGGGCATTCCTGAGAATTTATGTATCAAGTTTCATTGAAATCTGATAATTGGTTCTTGAGATATCAGTGGAAAACACACACACAGACACACTAACCGCAAAGACTCCTGTTGTGTGCTTTGCACACAGGAGTCAAAAACACTATTTTGACGTTTGTGTAGCATTCTATCCTAAGATATACTCACAATGACTGACTTATAAGACCTTTCATTCCACCAAAATTGGGATTACCATGCTTTACATAGTATTTACTTTTTTTGGCAGCACCTTTCTGTTTTCTGTCACCTACATTGTACAAGATAGAGTTATGAATAATAAGATAAAAATACAATTAGATTACTGTACATAAATCAGTTATTTGACACCAATAAACATTCATATTAATTTCATTCACTGAATAAACAGGTTTTAATAATTTTCAGTTTTAGTTCAGAATCAGTGCTCAACATGTGCTCAACACAACAATTAATGCATTCTTATTTGCTCTATTAGAAGCACATGTAACCAAAAATTGCATTGGTGATATACTAAATCGTTAAAATAATATTTATTTTGGCAATAGAAGAAAAAACTTTACATACATGCTACTAATAGAGCACAAATTGTATACATACGATATACATAATATACTGATAGGTTACCACACTAACAAATCAGGACGCGTGTTATCAATACTTCACTACAGTTAAATTGAGAATTATTATGCAAATTTGGCAATTAATATGCATGGCTTTCAACCATAACATATTCCTCCCCTCCAATTCAACTTTTTGTAAACTAACTGGTGTATGTTTCATTATTATGAAAATTGGGTGATCAATATGCATGGGTTTCAACTAAAAACATATTCCCCCTTACAGAAAAGCTAAATATGGCTATGAGCCTATGCATGTGACAATACTGTTTAAAGTGATCTGACTGGAGGTTTCCAAGAAGTTGAAAATGATCAAATTATCAAGAGATAATGGAAAATTGTTGAAATAGTCTCAAAATTAGCAATCTTAATTCAAATCCATTCATTATAAATATTACTTGGGTTTATGACTTTGAAAAAGAAGTTAAAAATGTAAATATAATTTCCGGTGACTTATATAAAGTACAAATATTCCTTTTTAAATTTCAAATATGTATCCAGATGTGACTACACACCAAATGCATTGAATTCAAACTTACGTTTAGTTGCATAGCGTAGTAATAACTTTTTGGCTTTATGATGCGGGACTCCCACTCTGTAAATTTTATCATTATTCTGTTGACTTTGTTGTAATTTATTCTCTGTGCTCACTTCACCCGTTTCTTCTTCAAAGCGTATTGGTGAGAGCTTAATTTTTCCCTGATGTCTTTCTAATTCCCCAGTCTCTTTGTCTTCAGTGTCCACTTCTAAATCAAGGATAACATCTTCTACAAAATAAATATGGTTTAGAGTTGGAATAAATCAAATAAGCATTAATTTGAATTATCTCATCACCTCATGAATATTCATGAGATCCTTTGATTCAGACAAATGACTCGGGAGTCAAAAACTAGGATATATTGACAGGACTATTTAACCGTATAAATTTTGCAATAATTTTATTCGGGTAGTAAACTTCCCTGAAGTTATTATAAATCATCAATGAGCCGCAATGAAATAACGCAGATGGAGTTGAAAAATTTTTTATCGTCAGTGAATGTTGTCGGGATGTGATCAGTTTCATGTACAGTATTCAATGATTATAGCAGCTCTTATTTTTAGTAATATCTTGTAATCACGACAAATGCTATTGCAGGTATAAGGTATTAAACTAATGATAGTTTCTTCTAGAGGAAAACAGTTTGATATGTGTTAAGTTTGAATGATAAGAAATACATGTCTGAGATGTAGGCTCAACCAGACAGATATGTACATAGACCCGATCCAGACCTGGGTATATCTGAAAAGAATCACATCACTTTAAAATATTTTATTTTAGCTGCAATTAATTTTTGCTGAAAAGACATTTTAAGTGTTTTGTATGGAGTTTATTTTCACTGAGTTTTGATGAGTTGAATGTAAAATATAGAAAAAGGGTATATGTGCTGGATTTCATTTTCACTGAATCATTCCTTCAACAAAGATAGCGAAAATAAATTATTTTACAGGACAATCAAGTTCATTGAGTCAGTACTTTACAATCATACCTTCCATATCAGAAGAATGTTTCTCTTGTATATTTGGTTGTGATGAATTATCTTCTTGTACAGCAGTGGTAGACATTTGTTTACTCCGCGCCAATAATGCCCTTCTTGCAGTGTGTGGGTCCAACCAAACAACATTACCTTTCACAAAGAAACAATAGTTAAAACTGATAAATATACAGTAGACATACAATAATAAATACATCATACAATAACCATAATTTAGGCACCCTGTCACATTACCATTGTATTGTAATGTATTTCTGTATGTTAATGGACAGTGAATTTGTAAATGTAATTTTGTAACTTGTATGCACTTTTTTACTTTTTACTGTTACTTTTTTTATTGTTTTGTATAGTTAGTGACCTTAATTTACTGGTGTATTTATCAACATGCAAGTACCACACGGGTTTGCAATGTGTGAATGCAACTTTAACTTAATGCACATGAACTTACAGGATGTATCGTCTATCCATTCAATGGAACCTGGTTGGAATTCTTTGAAATAATCAAAGATGTCTTGAGTACTCATGTTATCTACACCTTTTAAATGTAAAGCATCTAAACGGATATCTTCGTCGTCATCTGAAGAACAGAGAAATTATAAATGTGTGAAACACCATGATATTTAGCTATTTCTATACAAGCCTTCACTTTCATGCAAAACTAGTTAAGTTATAAGTCCCAACAGTAAATTTGTGGTATTTTACGGGGTATTTTCATCCTACCATATAAGGAATTGCGAAATCCAAATATGGAATGATTACGCATGTAAGCAACCTCTAATAATAAAAACAAAGAAGGCTTCCACCAGAGTTTTCTAAACATTTTGGATTTCAGCATTTGTATGGTGTATCCTTGGAAGGAAAAGATAAGGTTATTTATACATGTATTATCACTCAGACAGTACGTCATGCATCGACCTCCGCGGCACACCGGTCAGTACTCCTGCTGTACTTTCTTCATGCATACTTTGAGGTATCCTCGTAATAACCTCATATTAATAACACACATATGATGATATACACCATGAATGTTGTAGACTTCAATATCTGACACAGAAGAGAAATCTTCACTACTACAAAATTTTGCAATATTCACTGACACATAGAATTCACAGTAATCGTTTCAAAGTTTGTTGTTAGCGATACAAATGACTTCTTTGTTGAACAAAAACATTACAAAGTTACAGACATTCAAACTCAAGATAATGCTACTCCTGAAGAATGAAAACATACTTACTGATGAACTGTTCTAATGATGAATCTAACTCCATCTTCTCATCGTCAACCTTGCCAATACCGAATCTTTTGCCTCTTTCTTTCTTTTTAGCTTTATACTCCTAAACAATATACATGTACAAAAGATGAACTATTGCAAACTTATTCTTATAAACAAGCTACTGTAGAATATTTTATTTTAGCTGGAATTAATTTTCGCTGAAAAAACTTTTTAAGCATTTTGTATGGAATTTATTTTCACTGATTTTTGTCAAGTTGAATGTAATACATAGGAAAAAATGTATATTCGCTGGATTTTATTTTCACTGAATCATCCCTTCAGTGAAAATAGCGAAAATTAATTCCAAGCGAAAGTATTCTACAGTATATTTGTAATTTCAGAGAAAATATTCAAAACATTATCCACACTATCTGTACAGGGCACTATCAATTGAGTCATCAGTTGAACAAGTTAATTTCTGATGCAGGACAATTGTTCACTATAACGTGCTAACCAACATGCTTTGAGGATAAATTTAGGCCAGACCAGGTACCTATAGAGTGTCTGTGTGAAGAAACTTGAAAACACACATAAATACACTTGTACACAGAGAAAGGGTTACTGCCAAGACTCCTATTGTGTGCTTCACACATGAGAGCAACAAAATAATGGCTGACAGTCAGCCATTTTGAATCAAATCGCGAAACACATGTATAAGTTACTACCGTAACTGTATTTGATTGTACCAAGTTTGAATGGAATCAGCCCAGGTATGTGTAACAGTTTTTGGAATGTTTTTTGTTGTTTTTTGGGACTAAAAATCTAAAAACAAACTGACGCGCAATATTATGTCACATTCAGTAATTAACAAAATCAGTCCCTAAAGTAGGTCAAATGGAGCACAGACAAGCAAGCACATGGAACCAAAAGGGCCTAAACATAGATTTATCACTTTTCGTGTTTGCAAGGGAGCTCCTGTAACTCAAGACAGCTACTCAACAAGAAAAATACAGAAAAAAAACATCAACAAGAATAAGATAAAGGTAAGGTAAGGTAACGTCTGTCGCAATGCGAAGCTATCGAACCAAAGCTAGTGTAAGCATACCTGTGAAGTGACATCAAAACCAGTGATGAAATCACCAGCTTTATTCTCGTACCTTCTCTGTCCAATTCTACTTTCTGCCTAAAATGAGTAGATAATGAAAAGATAGTTGTAAAATACATTATTCAGGGCAGCATTCTCTGACTGCCATTCAGACATGTGTGATGAAGATGAAGTTATTATAATTTGTTTTTGCCAAATGTTGCCCAATTTTGAAAAGGCTCACTTTTCAAAGCTAACATTTTATTTATCACTTATACTAGTAGCTTTGCAGTGAGTGGCTTTCACAGTAATTGGATTTCGTATTTGTAGGGTTTCGCAGGGAGTAGGGCTTTGTCTCAGTAACTGGTCTTTTCATCCTTGTTGAGAATTAAAGTTTTATGTTTCTATAACAACTGGCACTATTCTGGGAATACCATCCTGGCAGGAGTTCCAAAATAAGACCCATGCTCTGATAATGTCTCCAGTTTCAAAGACCAATAAACATTGCCATTATGATCTTATTGGTGTTGCAAAGGATAGTTGAATATTGTTTATTGAAATTAATAATCCCCATAACCGTTTTCCAATATAGATAAATTGTAGTACGTAACAAACTGTATAACCCAGTCTCAACAATGAAATAAAGGAATGTACCGGTATATATTTACATTATTTATTCTTATTTATTATACTTTTATTGCTACTGTACTGATATAATACTGTATTTCTAAAGATGCAATAAATATTATTACATGTATTATTATTATTAATGCTTTGCAATACAACTAATTCAAATTGAAAGAAATTGCAATATAAAGTATTCATAAGTAATACTTCTCAAAGGCGTATTTTGCGGTCAGTGTTATTTACGAAAATATTTGTTTATAATTTTATAAACTTGCTTGGCAATACCCACCCCAATTAAATATAATGTGTACATATTTTAATAAATAAAGATATACTAACACAAATGAAATATTAATTATTTCATATTTTATTATATAACCTGCACAACAGTAATCAATATTTTTCCTTGCTAGAATGATGTGTAACTTCATACGGGAATCCTGATAAAGTTCACAACTAGCGATTTAGCAGTATTAGGGATTGTCAACTTCCTGTGAATTTCATTACCTAACAAGTTTAGGTTCATGCAATGCAAGTTGCACAGCACGTACCTAAGCGCCCCCCCCCCCCAGCAAATAATTAAGCCAAGGCGGTTTTGATATCGAAATCAAGAAACCCTTTGATTTGACACAATCTGGGAAGTTTGAATTACTAAATGAAGTACAGGACAACGAAGCTTAGATATCTAAGAACCAACACATACCAAAAATTATATCTCACAAGTGAATATTCGTGGTGTATTTTAAGTCTAGCCGGACCATAAGTTGGAATTCGTTAGTACTCTAAATATGCAAATATATTTTAGTATAAGGTAGTAATAATCATGATAGTAAAATATAATCATATGTTGATTTCAGCCCCACGACATTGTTACATCAGCAAATAAAAGGTTTACTAAATTTTTAGTACAAGACCCATTGACGCTATGTGTAAACTATACTTTTTTACATTGTAGCATAGACCTTAGAAAACATCTATGATTGTAGTGTGACCAAATGCGACTAAACAACGTAATGCACTGTCATTATTACAACACGGCACGATCTGCCGACATGATAGACGAGGGTTTTGCGGCGTTTATGTTATTTGCAGGGTTTCGAATTTGCAGTCGGGTATTCTGTTTGACACCCTGTTCAGCAGAATACGTCGATCGCAAAATACAACCCTTAAACGCCGCGAAACCAACTGTTATGAAGAATCCACTGGAACCAACTCACCACAATTTCCGACAGAGGTTTATCTATCTTCTTGTCGTTGTATTGCCGCTTTTGTCGTACTGGGGCGGCCTCAGATTCTTCGCTCTCAGAACTCTCACTACCTGAACTGTCAAGATTAAAAGCATCATCGTCACTTCCTCGAGCTTCCGTCTTGTCCATACTTTCAACAACAACAGTTTCCGCCATGTTGGAAAATCTCTTCCGTAACCATCATGCATCAGTGACCCACTGAACAACGGCAGGTCACTGTACTCAGGACGCCACCTGTGGCTACAATAATGTGGTAACAGGTACATTCCCAAGATTTAAAGGAAAAATCTAGGCTAACAACATAATACTCCCAAGACTCCATGGGGAGCATTATGTTTTTGGCTTGTCTTCACCTTTAACCATGGGCATTTCCAAAAAATAACAATTTGTGTAGCACAGGCGCCCTCTATATTTCTAGGTCAATGTTGAAATAGTCCGTCTGATACTTATTTGTAAATTAACTTAGAAATACATGTAGAAACATAAAGGCCGCATGTTGTATATATAAATACTATAGAAAATAAACCAGTGTCATCTTAGGGTTGGACCATTTGATTTTTGAGGGGAGGGGAGGTCAGAAATGAAAAAAAATTGCAAAGTGAAGGGTTCTTCAAAAAAAAAATTGCTGCTTCACCAGTGTAAAAAAAAAATATTTGTCACAATATGACTTAGGGAAAAATATGGCAATTCTTCCTGCCAAGATAAGGTGACACAGAATACAAGAAGAAACTAGGTCATATATAAATGGATGTCAATATAATTCTTGTTTGTGGATTAATTAATAGCAGAAGGAAAATTATTATCTGCATTTCAATATTAATTTCAAAAACAATTTCACTCTAGCTGCATTTTGATTGTATACCATACATGCTCTATTAGAAGAGCATCTCCAATAGAAGCACATGTACGGCAACAAATGCATTGATTGTATACTGATTTATTAAAATATGTATTTTGACCATAGAAACACTGTTATTTACATAAGAGCATGCGCTACTAATAGAGCAAATATGGTATTGCATGCAATATCTCTAACAATTTAGCTGTTTTAGTTTAAATACATTTACAGACTAAAACAAAAACATTGTTAGAAAAGTTGCTTGCAATATTGCTGACTACTGTAAAATACTTTATTTTCTCTGGAATTTATTTTCGCTGAAAACAGCTTTCTGGCATTGTGTGGATCTAATTTTCACTATGTTGTATTAAGACTCAATGCAAACGTATAGAGAAAGCTGCATTTTCACTGGAATTTATTTTGCATAAAATTGACTACAGGCAAAACAAGGAAAATAAAATGCCAGTGCAAATAAAGCATTCCACGCTAGGTTATGTGACCACAATAATAGACAAGATACATTCATGATTGTATGGAACCATGTTTTATTAAACAAGTAAAAAATAAA